GAAGGGAATTTTATGTTTAAAAAAAAGCAAATTGATAACTAATTACTGACTCTATTAGTAGTGGAATCTCAGTGTATTGTGTATTGGAAGTGGCTTTCGATTGCATAAATAAAACCTTGTGAGTAGATGGTGCTTGCAGCTGCAAACCAATTGCCATAGGGGACAGGCCGGGCAGGCCAAAAGCAGATGAGAGGCCGGTAGTGGGACAATTAGATAACTCAGGATTAGTAGGCCTGAAATATAAAGTAATAAATAAGGTTAATATCTAAAATTTTAAATGGAATAAATAGCATATATATACAATCTATACAATCATAACAATCTAAATTGAAAAAAATATTGAGAACATAATGATAATTTGCTGAATTGGTCAGTTTACTTTAGCTATATAATATTGGTTTGACAATTTTTACAATTTGATCGGAGCAACAGAGAGATCGATACTGGCCAAACGCCTGGGAATGTGCCAAATCAACGGTTTGAAGCTGGAAACAATGATTAATATTATGACAATGGACGTAGGACCAAATAAGTTCCCCAAGGCCTTCCTGTCACTCCGACCAAATTGCGAAAACCAAATCAAATCAACGGTAAAATGAATAAAGGCATGTTAAATCATAAATTACTATTAGCACCACTTACTATCAAATGTTAATAATAAATAAACAGAAAGAAATCCGTAAAATAAGGATATCAAAAATGGCAAATATCTAAGAATCTGCGGGTTCCTGGCAGATTTAGACAAAGAAAGACATTTCTCATAAAAAATCTACTCATTCGGGTAGACATATAAATACAAAAATTTAGACGAATAATGATATTTGTGCATCCGATATAATAAGTTGATGCTATAAAAAATGATTATTTCGAATTTCATATCGTATTTCATTGAGCGTTACTACATATCCAAATGCCTGCGCGAAATGGATTAATTTAAATCACAATTCCAAGTAATATATTTTAAAATGAGATTTTGCCAACGGATAAAATTAAACAATTATCAGGCCCTGAATAGCTGAGTTAAAAGTATAGGATTCAGTGTAGGCATCTGGAAAAAAACAAATATATACAAGTGCGTGTACTAATAAAAAGGAGAATTTTATACTGACTCCTCAAAAATATTTGAAAACTTCATCGAAGCATGCGAAATTTCTTTACTCTTATGAGAGATGTAATAAAGCGATGCTACCGAATGGGTATTTATGAAATATTCTCAGCGGTAACAAGTTGTATTACCAAAGTCTGCATACACAAGGCAACTATCTTTGTTATTTTGTTTAAGGATGCATTGAAATAATCCGAAGTAAATTTATCGTGAAGCTTCGCTGAAGTTGCCTCTGGAGCATGCTTAAAATAATGTTGTCAGGCTCCATTCGCTAGAATTGAATCAAACGGTGATAATAGTTGCGCCTAGGGGATGTAGGCTTCGATTGCTTAGACATATTTGCTTTTGGCGGAATCTGCAGACCTGTCCAGATCACTACTTTAAAGTGAGCTATTTACTAGTCCAAGTATGGAAAATGGGAAGATTTGGGGGAAATGAGTTAAGGTATTTTCAATAAGATATACAGTTCACATTCTCAATACTGTAAACCGACTGAGAATTGTTCGTAGGAGAATCAATAGGAGTTCGTCTCTGATTATTGTACTTGAATGATTAATTTATTATCCGAGAAAATTGATAAAATATTTTTAGATTGTGATTCTTATGACCCGAATTAAATCCGTAAACAGATAACATTTTTAAAGCTTAGATATAAGTTTGCTGTCTTGGAAGCCGGCGTTTGTGATTCTCAGGTGATTCATTCATAAGAAAAAACACAAATTCTGCATGCAGTTAGCAAATGGACTAAGGTGGTTCACTCTAAAAATTTTCATTTCAACCTTGGATACTTGCGTCTATGTCTTGCTCTCAGGTGATTCGGGATTTCTAAGCCCTCCTACCAATATAAACAAGTTGCGAAAACAAGATCAAACAACTTCTATACAATGAAAGCAGACTGTGACCACGCAAAATGCCACACCATCTTGGTCTTCATATCTTCGATTGTATGCGATATAGAAAGGTTGGATTAGTAAATTCGGGTTGAATACACTGGAACAGGAATAATTCAACAAAGTTCATAAAGAAGTTTTTTTATTCTAACTGACACGGCAGCAGCAGCTGCGGCAGCAGCAACCTCTCTTGAGACCATAAAATGGGCAGCTGCTTCAGCCAATCTACACTGATCTTGAGTCAAACGATTTTGTAGACAAACAGCCATGCCACCGCCGCCTGGATGAGTAGGCGAGCTTCCTGCACTGATGGAATAGAGTGCTGCCGTAATATCCTCCTGGCTACTGATACCTGAATCATGTGGATGCAGGCCACTGCCACTACTGTTATTGCTGGGGCCACCACAGGCCACAGCAGTAGCTCCCGGAATGCCAGTAGATTGAGCAGCAGTGGGGAGGTAGGAAAGTGGATATCCATAGACATGGGTGTGTGAGTAGGCCCCAATGAGATGACCAGAATCCTGAACACCGCAACTCGAGTAGGAACTGGGACCTACGCTGCCGCTACCACTACTGCTGTAACTGATTGCAGAACCAGATTTACGACGAGATTTGGAACCAAGGCGGATCTAAAAAGTTTGTTGTAAATGCAAGTAAAACAGAGTATGTAAAAGCAGTCTTAAAAGTGAAGAATTTTTTATAATAAATCTGGACCATACAATTCGTTAGAAAAATTTGCTGTGACAATTTCACATCGACTCACCGGAAATCGAATAGTGTGTACTGTAAATGTAACGAATAAGTCCTTGGCAGGCATATTTACGAACCAAATAAATCCGAATGGAATATTCATCTGTCATATAATAGATAATACAATCAGAAAATGGATCAGAGACCTCAAAATTTGGCTGTTAGCAATAGACATAATTGTAACCGACAAGCATTCTTGACTCTGTGAAATCCGCTTAAAAATTGTTTTATATCCTGGAGATTTCTGTCACACAGAAGATGAAGTTCAGCACAGATTTATTGAATTCGCAGAAAAGGAGCAGTTACAACTGCAAGACAATCTTCCTTCGGGTTTCAGCAAAGTAAATTTATGAATACCTTCCACCAGAATTTTACATTAAAATGAAAGATCCAAAGATCATAGACACAGCATCGATCCTTAGTGGTATCTAGGTAAAGACCATTCGATTAAAAAATAGTACAAATAGATGGCATTCTTGTGTGTAACCATTGGGATAATGCATCACCTAAATATACACGACAATCAGAAACATTTAAATTAATTAAAGGATTTTAGCGCTATTTTGGTAGCATCCAATATTGCTAAAACTCAGTTAAAGCGCTAAATTTGACTACCTTTATTAGTGCACAATAATAATTTGTATTGCACTGGTTTGTTATTAGATATGAAGACTAAGATGATGTTGCGTTTTGTTTGGTCACAGTCTCCCTTAGCTTTAGCTGGTTTGATATTGTTTTCGCAACTAGTATTAGGCCCTCTATCATAGTATTTATGATGATTTCCAGCACCAGACCGTTGACTTAATACATTTCCAGACGTTACGCCGGCATCGTCAATGAAGCGCCATCCTTATCACTTGTCTCTTTTACGGGTTGTAGCGTATTACTAGGAATGACAATACTCCCTGACGATACCGGCGAAACATATGGGAAGGTGCCAAGTCCCCAATCCGGCTCTTTAAATAAGCATAGACACTATGGATCCTGGACAAGGTGCATTCCTCTAGATCTCACTTACAATACGACCAAACTGCGAAAATATGATCAAAGAACTTCTATACAAGGGGATCGCAACCATACAGAAAGCCACGCAATCTTGACCTCCATAGCTTCGAATAAATATATTTTTATTGTTGCATCTACCAATATTTTTATTGCAAATGCTTACGGATATATAACCGATTTATTTAGAATACATATTTGGCAACATCTAGAATAGGCTTGTTTCATGGTTTATCGTAGGTCATTCCAATCTTGATTTACTAGCAATTTGCGTTAATTGTATGAATCTATTTGGCAATGCTTACGAGGATTTCTATCTACTATCAGTCGAGATAGTTAAATTCGTGCTTTGGGCGACTTATGTCAAATAATTTTCTGGCCATTCAAATATAGTCACTTTAGCCTCACAGATGAACAGCATAAAACATGATTAGTTCAAGCCCGTTCAAGTAAGCAGCAAATGGCTGGAGTGAAGAAATTCCAAAGAAGCTTTGACATGGACCTTGAAGGTCTAAACATGAATTCAAATGAGCTCATGGAGTACGAAATTCTATATCGTGTTTAATTGAGAACAGAAGCTATGCTAGAGAAAAGACTGATTAAACTCACTGTAGTGTGACTGAAATCTGAAAACAGATCAATTTCTCAATAAAATCCATAGCTAACAAGATAAACATTTTCAAAATCTAAGAAAATAAGGCTAAATAGAGGATTTGACAACCGTAGCCTAAGACAATTTTTAGCTAAATTAACTATCTTACCCTCAGAAATCGTAAGAAAGATAAAACCTTGTTTATGAAGATTAATTAAAAATGTCAGATTTGAAGCAATCTCAATGAGAATTAAGAACACATTTGTCCTTACTATTTAGGTCTAGTGAGGTTCATCGAGAACAGGAGGTAAACATTTATTTCGCTGTTATAATTTAAATTTGAATGAGTTAAGAAGCGATAGCTTTAAAATGAAGCCAATTGTACATGTGCGTTTTTTCTATTAAACAGTTCGTTTATTAACCAGTCATTTGACGCTCGTTAACCAGGCAAATCGATTTGATGGAAGAAATGCATGCATTTGTCTATAATTAAAAAATACAACAGTACGGAGTTAAACTATTGTTTGTTTAACAGACAATACGTCAGGACTCTTTTAGCAAGGCTAGAGTCATCATTGAACTAGCTATAAAGAGCAAAGCGGCACCCTTACCTCATTGAGCATAGCGAATAAAAATTCAGTCTTATTCTCAAGATTAGTTCATCAATGCATAAAACAGTGGTAGATAGGTGATTAGGATACCCTTAATTAACGAGATTCGTGGTAGGGTAGTTGAGATATAGAAATAATAAGGCTGGACTTTTAATAACCTTATCTTCAGGAGAAACGGGATGAGATTAAGCAAAATATAAGCATACTGTGAATATACGAATCCAATCAACAAATTGAATGTTTGCTTAAAAGGGAGGAGGGTAAAGACAATGATATTACCTAAATGACACGAATAGATAGTCTTGCATTCACATGGTGAAGTTTAAAAAACGAATGACAGTGAATGAATGGAATTCATTGGAAGATCATTGAATAAAAAAAGCTTAATTATCAAACTAAAATGGTGCACAGAATAAAAGTTTCCCCTCAAGTTAAAAATAAAAGTCTAAAGATCATCGCACAAGCAGCCAGGTGCACCTGTTCGCAAGTACACATATAATAATAAAGAATTCATGTATGATGTTCATGCGCGCCTAAAATGAAAATGTGTCACGCTAGTCTGGAATGGATAGATAAGAATAGAATTAAAAAAACATCACTAAAAAAGGAAGAGAAAAAAAGGACGAATGAGAAGAAACAAGTTTAATAAGGTCATCACAAAATGTAAATGAAGACCTGAAGATGACAAACATACTTAAAAGCGAATTTATTTGACGCGGATATTAAGCCAGGGCATAACAATTCATAAAACTTGAGCAACGCGAAAGAATAAATTATAACGATTTTCTAGGTTTTTTGGGTCCTGAAAATTAGCTAATCTTTTAGATATGATGTTTTAATTTTCAAAGCAAACCATTATAACCGAGCCGAAAAAATGGTGGCTAGATAAAATAAATAAGCCATGGACTAAAGAAAGTCTCTAGACTTGTTGGAAGGCAAAACATAATTTTTCAGAGCTTACTCTTCGCTGATGCTGCTCCAACTCGAAAATATCGGCTCTGCCCAACTCAGGTAGGCATTCCCGGCCTTGAACAAGACTTGGATAGCGCAAAAAATAAGTGGCCAAATACAGGAGAGTCAGCATGTGCTCACGGCGCTGGCCCGTCAGTACAGTTGTTGAAAAGATATTGCTGGCTGGAAATATGATCGCCTCTGCCTGCATTGTCATCGTGACATTTGGACTATTAGAATAATTGGATGTAGAAGCCTGGGGGTGGGTAAAGGGAAAATAACAGGTGGATGCAGGATTGTGTGTAGATATAGGAGATAAAATGGAATCGGAGCCTTTGCCGTCATCAGCCTCGAGTGATGTAGCTACCTGGATGAGATGTCGTGGTGCGCCGATAGAAAGTTGATTTTCGGGGTCAAGAACACAACCGAATTGACCAAGCAGATGACTAAGCAAAGGATTTCTATTACACAGCACGCCATAGCCAAGAGGAAGGTCAGCACTAGAGATTACCTTGGTGGGCCCGTTGGAGCTGCCTGACAGAAGACCAGCCCACTTAAAGGGAAAGGTAAAACAAAAATAATGTAACACTACTTTATAGTTTGTCGTGAACGAGAAGGGAGCATTACATACGAAAATGATATGTAGCAAATTACTAATGGATTATTAATGGCTTTGGATTGATTATAGCTGGATATATTCAAGCAATATAACCAAAAGTAACCGTAAAAACCAAGTGAAAGTTTATAACAGGAAATGACTTTAAGAACAAATTTTGGGCTCTTAGTGAAAGCTCTTATCAAAAATAACATAGCTGAGGTGAAAGTATCCAGGCCGACTTAA